ATTTTATATCATCTTGGGGATAATAAAGCAGCTGTTATTCGCCGAAAGATTCATTTTCGTTCAATTCATTTGCACTTTTTCGATATCTTTCCATCACGTATGTGATGGATTGAATTTTTTGGAACCGTTTCTTAGAAACCTCTATTTTCACATGGGAATTATTGATCAATCGATTGATTGTTAATAATTGTTTGACCGGCCCATCATTTCTCACCGACAACTTTTCATCAAGTATATAATTAGTTTCTGGAACTTGTTGTACGATGATGCAATTGATTGAACACCTAATATCGGGGTGAAAGCTCCGACATCGATTAAAAGCGGCTCAAAACTTTGTCCGAGCCAAATTCTTCGCGTAAGCGAAAATCGAATGGATCGTGATAATGGCAAAAGTCATGTTTATGATATGCACCGAAAATGTTTGCATAAGACTCTTATAATAAGTGTTTCCAAGTTGAGTTTGTTTCTTTTCGAATTTAATTAAATCAAATCAATTTGGTTATTACTTTTTGGAACCATATTTCTTCGCTTTGACCTAGATTCCAATGCATATTTGCACGTTTTGTCATCGATGAAGCGCTTTACAATGCTACGCAGACAAAATGTGTAAATGTATAAAATATATTCGACGAGTTGCGGATACTCATCGAAATTCGTATTGGTGCCGACTTGAGAAAATGTCTATTCAACTCATGAATCGCTTCTTCAATATCGTGTCTACAGCTGCAGTCGCAATTTCTACACACACAAAAATAACAAAGTCTTTTGTGTTAAAAATTCTTGTGGTGGAAATTCTTCGGTTCAGCTGAAAAAATATTCTGAAAATGCTGCACCTGCGGTCGAATAATAGCAACTAAGCAGCTTTACGCAAAACGCAAAAGAAATTCCTTCATAACTTGCGTTCAATGTTTCACATGACAAAATATTAGCAAAAGCATCAGAATTTTGTCGACTGAATAGAACAATGACGCTTTTTAATGTTTCAATTCAACGAAAATTGTGACACATTTCGCCGAGTTTCATTGTGAATTTATTTCAAAAGTTATTTCAAGCGGTGTGATTTGTTCCACTTCGTACACGTTCACAACTTTGACTATTTCCTTGCTGGTGTGCCCACCTTTTTCTGTGTCGATTGTCGATGTGAATGCATCGAATCGATTTCAAATTGTGGATGGAAGTTATGCGGATTGTTGAATCGAAAAGGGATTGACTTCGAAATTGAAGTCATTGTGTTCAATTGATTGCGAAAAAGTGGCAAAGATGTGGCAATGTCAATAGGATAACAGGAAAATTCGATTCGGCACGCACTAATTCAACGGAAATGTTGTTAGAGCTCACCGAAAAACGTATCCAATGGAAATTAAATCAACCAAATCATCAGCACCTTCATCACATTGTCGAAATTATTGTTCGTATTCATTTCGTTTGCATTGTGATCGTTTTATACGTGATAACAAAAAAATAATACAACATGTTTTAATGGTTAAAACGAAACGCATGTTCATTTCCTTTGTGTCGCCAGTGCTCCGGTCCCAGTGTTCTATCAATCAATGTGCTGTACGATGTGTCATTCCTCGGTCACGGCTACTATAATGAAACATCATGTTTTATGCGACGAAATCATTTTAAACACATAGCTATGGGCACAAAGTAGCGCACACGTTTCGAAATGACATAGTCGATTGTGTTGAATATTAGTCGGCAGCAGATTCAATCAAATTCTTCACTTTCCTACTTATTTACTTTTATTTCAATCATCATCATCATCATCATCATTTTCACAAGCTCACATCTCGATATATACGGAACTCATCGTATGGGAAAACAGCAACGGTCAACACTTTGTCATTAAGATTTGACGCGTTGTGCCAACGCACGCATGATTATATATACCGTCATGCTCATCTCTCATGTTTGACAGTCGACATCAACGCGAAAAAAATTCATAATTTTTACATTTCATTTTATTTTGTTTGACACCGACGATCGACCCATCTCTTCCTCGTGCCGTACCATTGCCGCTTCGGCTATTTGATTCATTTCTTCTTCTTTTATCGTATTAATTTTATGCCCTACAGCCAAAGTCAAGTTATTTCATTTGGTTCCGAAACATTTCTTCTGATTTTTTTCCCTTTTTTGAATCAAACCAAAGAAATTGAATATTTTATGATCGACATTTTTTGGGTGGGTTCACCAAAATGGATGACGTCAATGAACTTTGCAGTCCGTGAGGAAATCAAATAGCTCGGATTACATTTATCTGTTTCACAAATTCAATACGATGCTTTCGTCACTTTTCGCATCCGCACATCGCTCTTAAAGTGGTGAACCTGAATATATCGAATCCGTTAGCTTACTGCCTGGGTGGCTGGCATTTGCTATTACTCAAATTCCAATCGAGTTCATTTTTTACTTTCGATTTTCTCAAACCAAGCTCGAGTTCTATTCAAGATAAGCGTTCAAGAAGATTCAAGAGCCTGAGATGGGAATTTCGAAAAAATATTTTCATTTAATTCCAATTAAGTTTCTAAAAATAACGAAGACTTTTCTTTTCGAAGCATTTGTTTTCTTTGGAAAGACTCGATGTGAATGAAATTCTTTATCTGCAATTTCAGTGATAATTTTTTTTTGGTCGTTTCAACACCGATGACAGGGTGTATTAGTTGTTGATAGAGCACAATCAGTGATTATGAATTTTTGTTTAAATTATACCTTACCTAAGCGCATGCATCCTTGGACAATAAATAAATGTCTGTGTCGGAATCAAATGAAAATTGGTATAATCAATGGAGCATATTCTTATCATTATGTCCTTTTATAATACCACCTCCGATTTCACTGCATGGACGGTAGCAGTCGTTCGTTGAATGTATAATCGGGATTTGCCTCTCTGTGTATTCACGAATTAGAGAAGACCTTGGACAAAGTTTCAAACACACAAATTCGAGGTTTTGTGTTTAAATGAACAGCCAATTTCGTGTGCGGTCCCGATTTATTCGGCTTAACGAACAATTTCAAAATCATCGAATGAAAGGAATTAACATGAACATTTTATCGACTAATTGGACCATTTATAAATTTTATCAAATTATTTTTGCATTATCCTCAAATGCGCATTAATTTCCCTTGTTTATACTCGACTCCAAAGGTCATTACGGCAAATTGAACAACTTACTACGACGCGATATTCCGGTCCGTTTTTTTCATCTTTATATCTTGTTTTTTCTCGAATGGCACTAAAAAGCATAAGCTTGGAAAATTTTTCGAATACAATTTATTCTCATGTCTACTCATTTATCATCGTTTCACCTCAAACAGAGACTATTCATTTGAAAAACGTCCTAGTTTCATTTATGTTTGTTCACTTCCGTTGAAATATCATCTCTAACTTGTTGTTTTTGATACCCAAATCCGATTAGTGGTCGATCTCATGGTGATGTTATTTGCAAATGAGTCGTCGGCAATGTATGAATGAACGCACAACGATGAAGTTCGAAGATATGTTGTTTTTTTCATCTCTTCTCTTCATTTCAATGAACGGCATATTCTGGTCTTGTTGTTATCTCCTCCCCGGTACATTTACCAGAAGTGCGCAAAGTTTTGCAGAAATTAATTCAATGGTTTCTGGTTCAAGTTGAAGATACTAAGAATATACAATGGAGCATCTCTAGAAATGTTGTCACCAGAACGAAGTGTCTATGGAAAGTGATACACGTGTCGTTGGACCGTAAAATAACAAGTGTCACCTGTCGTGTTATGTTTGAAAACCACAAATCATCACTCGGAATGTTACCATGCTACTCTGGAATATGCCTAACGATTTTGACTATCCACCAAAACGCACTATTCATCGGCGTGAATGTTGAAATCTTGGCAGTTTTCAGAGATTTTCCGAAAGTTGCCAAGCAAGTGCTTGTAAAAATAATTTTACATGTAAACTTTTTTATATCACCCCATTCATGTGCCAAAGTCTTAGATGATTTCAAGTGATGTGATGATAATAGCTCAATTCATTTAAATAACACACATTTTCATCATTTCACGCACATAATATCGTTGGAATAAAATAACAAGATTAAATAATTGCAAAGTCGAGTCAACTTGACTAACCTACCTCATGAGCAAAGAACAGGTTGAACATGGTTACGCGAGCATAATGTAATTATAACACATCAAAACTTTTCCTCTTGATGGGTGAGGTGAAACTATTTCAGTGGGTGTGAATAAGAGCGCTTGAGGGGCTATACCACGAACTACTCTATCCATAGATAAACCATATTATATACAATTACAACAAAAAATATAAGCGTAAGTCGAATAAATTAACGGGTTTCGTCACTCTTCGTCGCTTTTCATCAAGAAGTGCAGAAAAGCAGGTTGAAGTATAATTTTACATTGACTTATAAGTTTTGAAACTAAACCCTCAGCAGTAAACACATCACTTGAATGATGTAGTATTTATTTATTATTTTATTATAGTATGACTTGGAACTCTAAGCAAATAATCTAAAAGCACAAGTAAGTGACACTTGTTTGCACTCGGTGAGTGCTTTTGTAAAAGAAAAAGAAAAAGAAAAAAGTTTCCTTTTTAAAATTTACTTACGTTTTTATTCATTTCGACGTCATTTCAAGTTTTTACAATGTACATATAGACAGAGCGTAGCGAGTGGAACGTCATCAGATGAAAATTTTTTTTAGAAAAATAGCAGTTAAAAAAAGCAACGAGAACAGAAGTGAATGTAAAAATGGCACGGTCCATTGTTTGAATATGCTCGTTGGATGGCGGAACACTCATTTGAGCGTGGGCTTTTTGTATGCTGTTCGGATATCCGAGAGTCTCGAATCGCAACATGCAAAAAGGAAGCAGATGAAATATCTCGGACACTCAATTAATCGAAATAAAAATATGTTCCGTTCATTTTTTTTCCGTCGCACATTCTTTTTTGTCATCCTTCAGTGTTGGTTTCTGTAATTTCTTTTATAATAATAAAATGCTTGGATGATTTTTATTTCTTGAGTAACATACAATATTTTGTTGAATTTATTTTCTTTCTTTCATTGTTTACATTTTTTTGAGTAAGTGTTCTTTCTTTTGTGTGCTTTTTTTCCCTTTCACGCTCAAATGTCTTTCCCTTTCGCAACACCTTCGTCTTCACAACCGCCACTGTTTGATTGTTTCTTTTCTTTATGTTTGCAAGTGTTATTTGGATACTTTATTTATGGACCATTCATTTAAAACATGTAATTTTTTTTCTTTGCTTCTCAAATTGTTTTTTTGTTTGTTTACTATTTGATGCTGACTGTGATTTAAATGGGTGGATGCTGTTTCGATCGGTTTGATTCGTGATAGTTTCTAGCAGTACAACGAACATGAACATCTAATAAACATTTATCATTTGGTTTTATTCTTTTGTTATTTATTCGGGATATGCAATGTGTTGAATATAGAGGAAATGCGCTGAATTGAATAAATTTAAATTTGCTGTTTTTGCAACATGATTTGATGCTTATGCATTCATATCACATACACGGACATTATTTGCTGATGATCAATTTTCTTATATATACTCGTTTACATTCAATGTATGATAAAGAACAGGGTCATCTATGAGTTGATTTGAGTTGCTTTGAGTTGCTATGCTCGGTTCTGTTCGAGGTGGGACTGTGATTAAGAATGAACCAAACGTTTGACGGTTCATAAAAACAGAGTGCTACTTTGGACGAACAGTGTTTGCTTTGTATGTCAATGAATCCATTTTGATTATCATGTCGAAAAAAAAGGATTTCGTTCTTTTTCATCTATTCATTTGAGCAAATATTTTCCCCCTTTTTTCTGCCAATTGTATCAAAGCATTTTCTTTTACAAATTTGTGTGTTTTAAGCCTAGTTTATGCCGGGCGGAAAAAAAATTCTTGAAAATGTTCAAAACTGTTTTTCAGCTTAAGCCACACTGGCTCGAACAAGGAGCAGAAATGGTATAAAATTTCAACTTTATCTTGCTGTTTTGTTTCGATTTGAATTGTTAAATTACATTGATGTGTTCTTCAAAATTGGCAGCAATCTCGTCGGCTAAATTCACTTTGATAAATGGATGCTGCAAACACGAACAACTATTTTCTTTGCAAAACATGGACTCATGGCGGAATTTACGTTTTGAACTTGAATTGTTTTTTTTCGCTGAACTGTAAACAAGACTATGTTCAATAGATATTGTTCAAAAAAATAACTAGGAAGATAATAGTGTTCAATTGAATCTTGAGATTCACTCCTTCGGTTGAATTCTGGAAATTGTGCATGGCTAATTTTACCTTTTTCCAAACGAAAAGGTTTTTTCACATTTACTTACACAGCATAAATTATCTTTGGTAAAATATGTTGATGCTCTTAAAATCTCCTATCAATAGTTTCCATAACATTCAAATAAAAAAGAAACAGAAGTACTATGTTATTCTAGAAAAGCGTGAACTTATGGAAAGTAACCTAATTAATCATTTTCCATTCTAATATCGTCCTAGCGAAATGTGTTTTTTTTTTCGTATTCATCATCATCATTTCAAACTTAATCATGTTGTGTCATTACATCTAATTTAAAATATCTAATATAATAAATTGTATCTGTTAAAAAAACAATGATGACTATATAGTTTTTCATATGAAATTGAAGTCTTTGTTCGTGGGATGTTGGCTATTTAGTCATAAGCCCTTGAGAGAATGAAATTGAGTAGATGTAAGTTAAAATTTAGTTTAAAATCCAAGTAACACATTAAATTGTTGCTCTTTTGTTTTGATAAATACATTACATCTACTAGAGCTTTTCCATCCATATGAGCATGGTACATTAACCGTGCACACTGTGTAAGACATGGCATGTCCCCATGGTGATTTTGGCCATTCATTTTTGCACTGCGCTCAAATGGTGAATACATGTCAAATGGATGTTTACAGCAAATCGGATGTGATGGTTCCGTTTTTGATTTCCCAATCGTTGCCGAGTTTGGTGATTTCAGTGGTGCGTGTGATTTCACGTGCCGGATAATAAACACACGGTCCCGGCGATGGTGACCTCACTCGATTGATTCGCTTGATTTTTAAACTGGTACCATTTCGAAGGCTTGTTCGTTGCGTACCGTGCCGCGAAAGACGACCACTGCTTCGATTCCCATCTCCATTGGAGAATGAGCTGTCGTCTTGCATTAAACCATCTGGGGAATCGCGACCGATACGTCCCTCGCAAAACAACTGCAAGAAAATTCGCTTAAACTTTTCACCAAATATCACATATATTATGAAATTGACCGAACTGTTGAGGGTGACCAGCAAATTGGAAACAATCACTATTTCCAATGGTATTTCGCCGAAGAATGCTTCCACAAAATTTGCATACAATGCTAAAAAGTTGAATAGAATGAATACAACGACAACGCATAATAGCATCGTGGCCAGTCCGATTTCACGTCGTTCCGTTCGCGACCACATTTGTCGTTCGCGATTCGCTTTGCGCACTTGTGCATAAATCATCGTATTGAACACCAATAGCCCGAGAAATGGTAAAAAATGGTTTACAAACAAAGCACTCCAATGTATATAGTATTTGATGTAGGCACTGTTTGTTCGCAGTGGTGTCATTCGTGTGCAATAAATTTGTCCATAATCCGGATGCTTGTCGCCACACGATTCAATCTCCTCAAATCTAACTAAATTATAGAGTACCGCAACAACGGTGCAAAAAATGACGTAGAATTTTGATCGGCCGTATGTGCACAGAGCACGCTACAATTGAAATGGAAAATTGGGAGAGAGAGAGAGAGAAAACACAAAAGCGGTAATAAAAATGACATTGACCCATTGACTGAAAGAGGCAAAAAACGACAAATTATAGATTACAATAATTGCATACTAACCGCTCTCAACGGGTGACATACGGCCACATATCGTTCCAAGGACACCAGCAATGTTAGATAGCAATTGGCCGTCTGTGCAATCACCGCCAATGTGAACAAATATCTAATGATGCGTGGATAAACGTTGTATGTGTATCGGAACCAGAACATGCTGCCGCCAGCATCATCATAATATGAATACGGATAAATCGAGTGGAAGCCAAATAGAAACATTGATGTTATGATTAAAATGATATCGCAACGTGCCAACGCAATGAGTAAGTAATTAATGCTGGATCGCATCTGGGGCCGCGACAATATTATCAATGATAAACTGTTTCCCAGAATCCCGACCATTCCAATTAGATTGATTAAAATGCCGCTGCACCAAAAGTCAAATCCGATGATCCATGACGATGACGGTATGGTGGCATTCTGTTCTAATATTGGTAGATGGCATGGGTCATGTTTTAGTAATGCCGATAGGTTTTGTGTCGAATTCACGCCGTTAAAAAAATTCAAAAATAATTTTAAGTGGTCATACATAACATGCTGACGCTGACAGTCGGTTACCGGTAAATTTAAGTCGACAACCGATCTCAAGATGTCCACACTGGACCTCCCCGTCAAATTTAAACTTTGTTCTTCAAACATTTTCACATGTGTTTTCTTTTTTGTTCATTCAATTGGTTTTAAATAGTAAATTTTGATTCTTTTTATGGGAGTTTTCCTCTCTGTTATAACTTCATGTTTTTTCAGAGTGTTTATCACAATCGGAGGAAGCACATTCAGAGTTTTTCATTGTAAATGGAAGCGGAATTCCAAAATAATGTGCACTATGGATTGATATTACCATGAATTTACAATAACAAATTGACTAGCTTTTTAATTGAAATTCACGGTTATTTTGTAGGGGTGGTGTTGCATCGACCGCTGTGCTCTTTGATACTTCGACAATCTGGAAAGAAAAGACAATAGGAAATATTTAATTTCAACCGAAACACTATGTACAGAGACCACGAAAAAAGGTCGAAAGATTTCCTTCACCTTGAATGAGAAAAAGGTTAAACGGAAGGGGAAAAGTTTGGGAAAACTTAGAGAAAATTCGTTAAATGAATATTTAATTGATTAACTTTGTAAATAGAAATTATCGGAAAACTTTGCCAATCATTTGTAATGGACATACTGTCCTTGTTGCTATCAAAATGGCTAACAATATAATATATTTATCGTGTGCAGTGCAGAGCCAAAAAAACTAATTAGAAAAGTTTTTGCTAGAGAAAAGGGACTCTCTTTCTTTCTATTTCTCTCTTTCCCCTCGGAATGGATGTGTCTCTTGTTCACTGCTGTGCTTACGCCAAGATCGCTAAATAAATGAAGAAAAACGACACGCAGCACTCTCACGCAGGCGAGGGACACTCAAAGCAGTCATCGTACCTGTGCCGTCTTAGCCTGGAAGCGAATGAAGCAGCCGCCCCGAGCTGCTGAAAAGGCCCTTGAAATATTAAGAGAAAATCTCATCAAAGAAAATTGAAAAAAAAACACACAAAAAATACAAAAATTCTCAAATTTATTTCAATCTTCGTGGTTTGTTTGCTGTCCATAAAACAGATGATGCACGTGACGACGACGCCGTGGAAATGGTTTTGGCCCTATTTTTAGCGTAAATAAAATCATCAATTAGTTCATCGAAGTCCAAATTATTCAAAATTTCACATTTAACCACTGAGCAGAAACGATTGAATGTCAAATAAGCATGAGTAATCCAAGAATTTCAACTGCAAGACGAAAAAAGTCATATACATACATATATTTCGCCTTATTTGTTTTTCTGTCTTACTTTTTGAATGTAAGTAGTGTGGCTCACTTTTTGTTAGAATGATCAGTGGTATAATTGTTTACATATCAAAATATAAACAGTTTATCGATCAACCGTTCGAGCGAAATTCTTTATTGCTAAGTATGGTTGACTCTTCCAGGCGAATGTAATTAAACATAGAGGGAGAATAGAGATAACGATAGGTTTCGTTTGTCAATTCGAATTGGATGTTGAGTCACATGTACATTCGTATGAATAAGAGCGTTCATGTCCAGCAGTATTGAGCAGTAATCAAAACATAAATGAAAAACGGCATAGTTTAATAACTCTGAATTCATCTGTTTGAATTCAATCGAAATTGGCGCAACATTCAAAATATTGAATTTTGTGCTATTGAGAAAAAAATTTAGGGCCCCGGAAATTTTTTGCTTCAGGGCCCCCGAAAGTGCTAAGACGGCACTGCATCGTACATATATTGAGCGGGCACTATCGATGCGTTCATTTGTGTGAATGCGATTGTGTAAACAACAATGTTCGCATTCAATATGTGTACGATGACAGCTTTGAGCATTCCACGCGTAGAGGCGTCTTGGCGTCTTACGTCGAACCTTTCCCACGTATTTGTATACGAAGAAAGTGACCTTGCTTACGCAATCGAATCGAGTCCTTCACATTTCCACACCAATTTCTTGGCATGCAAAGTAGGGAAATGAAAATGAAAAATGTCCATCATAACAGATGAAGAAAAGCATCTATCAAATGACCAAATAAATAGCGTTTTCATTCAAGCCCTCTCCCATTTATAAATAAAAATGCTGCTTTGTGGAGTGATCATATTATTATCGCCCACGCGTCTGCAAGCACAAGAGAGGCTGCTTCGTACACCACAATTTGGTGTGCAAATTTTACGCAATGAAAAACACGCGTTAGCCGTTTTTGTACTTGATGCTTTCGCATGTAGGAAGTATAGCCGGTGATTGTTTGCGCTTTTTTTGCTCTTTGATTTGCTTTACCACAGCCCCTTTGTTTGTTATGTGATTACATTAACGTTTCAGTGGAATTGTAAATTTCCCACATAATTTATTTTCCGTCGACCGTTCCGTTCCGTTCCGTTGCCTCAACACAGTGAAACACTGAACATATAACCATTTTGTTTGCGAGTGTGCGTAAGCAAATTGCACAATGATGGTGGTCTCTTAGTCCGTCTCTTTTTATATGTCCTGGAGCTCTGTACACATGTTCTGGAGGTCTGTAATTGTTTTCTGGTTTTCAATAAAAATTTAAAGATATATAAAGATATTCTGGAGCTCTGTAATGGTATTCTGGTGCTTTGTAATGGTATCCTGGTGCTTTGTAATGACATCCTGGAGCTCTGTAATTACATTCTGGAGCTCTGTGTTGTTATTCTGGAGCTCTGAAATTACATTCTGGAGCTCTTTAATGATATTCTGGAGCTCTATAATGGTATTCTGGTGCTTTGTAATGATATTCTGGAGGTCTCTAATGACATCCTGGAGCTCTATAATTACATTCTGGAGCTCTGCAATGATATTCTGGAGCTCTGTAATGGTATCCTGGAGATTTGTAATGATGTCCTGGAGCTCTGTAATGGTACAAAATGGTAGTATTTTTGTTCCTGGTCAGTCGTTTTGTACTGTTACGACGTGCCAAAATCTTATTTAAATGGAATTATTTTCGCTCTTTATCATTGGCTCGAGAACTTTATGAGCTTTCTTAGTATTTCACGGTCGCGGTGCGGTTACTTGGCTCTTTGATACTCGTTCGTAGAACATCAGCATCTTGCAATTGTTCACATCGCCCCCAATTGCGGCTGTTTGCTTTCACTCAACAAAGATTATTTGTTGTTATTTTCATTTCATCTCATATTTCAATTTCATTTCAGTTATTAAACGGTCTCTTCGCTTCACATAGACATTCGCATTGCTTCTATACGCTTTTAACCCATGGCATATAGCACTCCGCTAAATGCATATATGTATGAATCCAATGGCTAGACATTGATGAAATGGAATTTCCATTTTTATCTCGGTATTGACTTTAAAGAATAGTCGAAGCCCTACCTCAAAGCAGTTCTCATGAAAATGTTTTCATTGTTGATCATAATTTGATTGATTTTCGCTTTGGTCTATCGGTTTGGACTCTATTATTCCTTCTATAATAGTTAAATCGTAATGTGTTGTCGCTACCAAGCGTCTCCGATTTTCCATCAATTTTTTTTTAACCATTTATAGAATGTTGACTTTTGGCTACGGCAATCATTCGAATTTTTATTATTCATCTATCAATATTATGGAGACAATTGAAATATCCCATCATGGCGACAGCAAAAGGGTCGCTGCATATATTTTGGCTATCCATTTGAAAAATGGTATTCAATATATTGATTGACTGCCATTGCACCACTCGTCCCAATACCCCGACAGCAACCCTTAGATAATTAAATGAAACCGTTGACATTCGGCAAACAACGTATTTCATTTGAAGAGGAAATTTCATTTTCTCACACAATTCGTAGCGGCCCAAATAAATCATCGGAAGCAAAGTGACTTTGCCAGAAGAAGAAGGAAAAAAAATTGATGGGAAACATTAAATCTAATTATATCACTCGACTTAGCAAATCAAATACAGTCATTGCAATTATGCCGTTGGGTAGACAGTGATGGATGGCAACCGTAAGTATCAGGTACATATTTATCGTTCTTTTCCGCTCTTTTCTCGTATTTTTTGCGATTTTTTTGGAGAAATCTTGAGGATACTCATTGACATGGAATTATTTTCCAACTTTTCCGTGGAACAATCCGCTTTTTTCATGGAAAATTCGTGACTGATCTGCTTTTCATTTCACTCAAACTGCATAAATTGATTTCATTCATGCTAATGGCTTTCATGCGAAACAATTTGTTACTTTTACGAATGATCGCCAGAAAAAGAGTACCTTTTCCATTTCCAAACGCCAGAGCTTGGCGGTGTTTAATAAAATAAAATAAAAATAAAATAATAATAAAATCGATTTTCAATGGGCTGCAGATTGAGCATTGGTATATTTTTAGACATTGTTCCGAGAAATGGAATGAATTTCGTCTGAGTCAGGCTCCACATTCATTCGCCGTTTTTTAATGAATGAAATTATTTACTGAATGAACAACTATAGAGTGAGTGCGCATATTTTTCACATTTAATTAAACGTAGGTAAATAAATCACTTTTAGGCATAATGAAATTAAAATTTTCACCCAATTTAATGACGGATTTTAAAAAAGCACAACGCAATTGTTTTATTAAATCATTAAATATGCATTGAAATAATTACAACCAGAGGTGTTATATGGTTCAATCCAGAGAATCATTTCAGCATAGATATTCAATTTTCTGATGAGATCTCAGTAACTGAATGCAGTGACTGCGAACGTCGCTGTGAGTAAACGAGCGCTCTACATTCAAGCGCGGACATTCATATACATTGGTTTACACATAATCGGAGTGAGTGTGCGTGGGAAAGAAGAGAAGAGAAAAGAGACGAACGAAATGTGTTGCATCGAGCGATGCAAACGAATGTCCACTTGACACAGTGTCAGTGTGGCGAATACCTAGGGGCATTTCTCACTTAAAAAATGGAACCATTCCAATGAATATTGAACAATTTGTTCCATTTCTATCAATTCGGGTAAATGGTTACACATTTACACTGAATGTGTGAAATAAGTTCGCAGTATGAAGCTTAAGTACGTGATACTTAGCATACTTAACCTTAAGTACGTACTTAAGCTTGATACGTAAGTACGTTAAGTATGTTAAGTATGTTAAGTACGTACTTAAGGATGATAATCTTTATACTTAAGCTTAGGTACGTACTTAAGATTTGTACTTGCTAACAGAACCGAATTTATGAAATTGCAGTGAATTCACCAAAATGTTTTAGAATTGACTGGAATGTAGTAATTTGGTTCACATTAAATTTGACAATTCCAGACAATTTCATACATTTTTATACCATTTCAATGGGAAAGAAGAAATATCTTAAATTCTTGCACATTCGTTTCAATTTTTTGCGTGAGAAATGCCCCCAGGCGAATACTTACTCTTTGTTTCTTCGAATTGTTGTTCCTTCTTCTTTTTCTT